AGATATATTGTGAATAATTATAAAATATTGTCAGTAGTATTGGAAATAATTCGATACTAAAAGCAAGCAAAACTTTGAAAATGCGAGTTTTAACCTTGTGAGTTTTAGGTTTGTCGGCTGGAGTAATGAATGATACAAGAAGCGCCTTTAAAGCGTTTCCTATGCGGTGCAATATTTTTGCAAATGCAAAGATAGTAACCCAACAAATTATATAGATGATAGCCATAAATATATAAATAAAAAACATTGGTAAACTATTGGTGAATATATACGGAAGAATTAAAGCGCCTACGAAGAAAAATCCAATTGTCGAAGAACATAGACCGATAGTATGCGAAGTCTTTCTCGGTGGTTTCTTATTTTCTTTTGGGTCGACCTGTTGTGGGCCGACTTGTATTGGGCTGTTATTTTTTTTCATGTTTTTCTCGAACACTTGGGCTTGTAATTTAGCAATAAAAGTAAGACAAAAAGAAATATAAGAGACAAACACATAATTATATAATCTATAGCCAAATAAGTTATAACAATTCCAAGCAGTGGCATCTTGACCTGACATGCATGATGACTGAATGACACAGTACCATATAGAATGTGCAACTACTGGTAAAACGTGAACAATAAGATCAAAAAAAAATCAAACTTCAGTTTTCTGTCAGTTTTTTCTAGTCTTATTGTGAATTTTTCACGCAGCCGGCTAAGTTTCCCTTCGATACCAAAAACTGACTGAGTATTGGGTAGTAAATTTCCTGATGGTAGCAAAGTTCCGCCCGCATGCTGTAATTCGTCTTTGATATTTTCCATATCCTCCAGTAGTGCGCGGCGAGTTAAACCTATTTCTAGTGTTGTTAAAAATTGTTTATATCGACACTTGTGGTAACAACATTGAAGTAGCTGGATAGAGAAGTATTGTAAAACCATGATCCAATATGGCTGAATAGTTGTATTATATTGTCTAAGTGTATATAGTAACGGTTTTGCGTGTTGATACATCTGTGACGGGGCCCCACTTTGATTGTTTTCACTCATTTCAGTTTTTTGTGACCAATCTCAACGTATGCGAATGTAAGAATATGTTTTGATAATAATCTATATGTGTTAATTGGAAATGGCTCTTTTACTTAAATATCCAATC